TGACCCATCAAGACCGGGCACCCTCCATAAAATCTGTGTTTATAGTCCGATTTTGATGATTTTTTTTTCAAATATGAAGTTTCAAAAAATGTACTTTAGGGCTGAATGTCATGTTATTTCACAAAAAACAAGGCCTACTTAATAAAGTTTTTGTGGTGAAAAATTTGCAAAATCATATTAGCGATTTTTTTTCAAAAAATTTTAGTACACCCCTACATTCGGCATCCCCCAAAACAGTTCTGTACCAAATTTCGTTTAAAATTATTAATTATTAATAATTTTGCAGTTAAATTAAATAATTCCCTATTTTTGCCAATTTAACGATGAGTTATCAAGTAACCCTTGAAAAAACAATCCACGACAACGAGTTTTATTACAAACAATGATAAAAATACTACAAGCAACACAATAACCGAATAATAAGTTAAACATATTCAAATAATTCTAGTTGCTTCTACCAGCCCTCCATTCAGTTCAATACATTTGTCGCATTTTTTTCTTAGATTAACAGTTACATTCCTAAGCTGCTGTGGTGTAATATTTGCAGAAGCCTCTGTAATTCTAATACGTAATTCATCTACAGATTGAGGTCTAGACTTGTAAACTTGTTGCTTTAAGAAACCCCAAAGAAAGAAATCAAGGGGTGTTAGGTCCGGGGATCTCGGTGGCCAGCAATTAGCGGGCTATTTCGACCTATCCACTTATTTTCAAAATTTTCATTTAACCATTCCCTGACAACTGCCGCGTTATGCACAGGTGATCCGTCCAATTGAAATTTTAAATTCAAACGGGTTTGGCATGGTAAATTATGTATTGCATCCCAAAAGTCATTAATCAGAAAATTCAAAAACGTTGGACTATTCAAATTTCTCTCAAAAAAATATGGACCAATGATTCTATCATCAAGTATGCCACACCACACATTTAATTTCTGAGAATACTGTCTTCTTGTATTGATCACCCATTCAGGGTTTTCGACTGCCCAGAATCGCGAATTTTGAGAGGATACTACTCCGTTTGTACTAAATGTTGCCTCATCACTAAATAAAATTTCTTTTAAGAAATTTCTATTATTTAAATACTCTGCTTGAGCCCATAAGCAGAATTCAATCGTCTAACATCATCTCCGTTTTCCAAAGTGTGTAAAATCTTTGGTTTAAAGGGTTTAACTTTATTAGTTCGCAAACATCTCCTAATATTTTCCCTTGGTATATCCAAATCAACACTGGCGCCTCTAATGCTTGCACGAGGATTGTTACGAAAATATTCTAATATTTCCTCATTCCGCCTATTTATTCAATGTTCCGGCCTTCTGTTTTTTAGTAAGTATTTTGACACACAACCAGTTTCATTAAAAACTCTATTTATTCGTTGAACCGTGCTTCTACTTACTGCAGGTCTGTCGGGATGTCTGTTGTTAAATTCTCTGGCAGCTTCTCCTGCTTGAAGATAGTTATCACCCACTAAACGAATCATTTCAATTTTATCCCTAATATTTAATTGTTCCATAATGCAAATAATATTTCTTGATACAACACTTTTCTGCGTGCTATTAAATTAATATTCAATTCTACGCTGCAAGAATTGACAGCTAATAAAACCCATTGTTGTGGATTGTTTTTTTCAAGGGTTACGTTATAACTCATCGTTAAATTGGCAAAAATAGGGAATTATTTAATTTAACTGCAGAATTATTAATAATTAATATTTTTAAACGAAATTTGGTACAGAACTGTTTTGAGGGATGCCGAATGTAGGGGTGTACTCAAATTTTTTGAAAAAAAATCGCTAATATGATTTTGCAAATTTTTCACCACAAAAACTTTATTAAGTAGGCCTTGTTTTTTGTGAAATAACATGACATTGAGCTCTAAAGTACATTTTTTGAAACTTTATATTTGAAAAAAAAATCATCAAAATCGGACTATAAACACAGATTTTATGGAGGGTGCCCGGTCTTGAGTGGGTCACACTGTATATATATATATATATATATATATATATATATATATATATATATATATATATATATATATATATATATATATATATATATATATATATAACTATATATATATATATAACTGAATATATCGTTTTTTATCTGAAAAAAATAAGAAAGTTATAGGGATGAGCTACTTTTGAAAAACACCCGGTATATCTTAGATATAAGACTTGAAACTGAATTTAAGGGTGTTAAGAAACATCGAACATTTACATCGGTATAAGCAACAAATTATATCTTTGAGACATTACTGGAATAGCAGGGGTGTTACTTACTTACTTATGTCACTCTTATAATAATAAGAAAATCTTATTTCTATATACAGGGGTAAATCAAATGAAGCCAGGCAGGATCGGTTGATACGACATGCCGATATTGTATCATGCAGGACACACAATTCTCCAGTTGCAATGTAACTTTACTCTAAATAATATAAAAATTATTAAATATGTATTTAACCATAATATGTAAATTGGGGAATAAGAAGAAATGACTCTCATAGAAAATTAAGTTATGAAAAATACATTTTTATTATCATGGAAAATATTAAATATAAATTTTAATACCTTCAAAAATACATCATGTTTAACTAGTAATAGTATCAGTAGCATCATGTATAAGTGTTTTTTAAGATATATTAGATATATGAGCTAAAAAACCTCTAATTTTGGATTTAACTTGACTTTTGGAGTTTATTTATTCTACAATATCTGCTAGTATCAATTACAAGCATATACGTATATGTGTTTTTAAGCTAATTAATATATTATTTAATAAATAATAAATATCCAAAAAATATAATATGTAAATTTGGATATAAAAGAAATGTGAATATTACAATGATAAAAAATATTTGAATTTTAGATTATAATGGAAAAATTTAACTATAATCTTTAAGTCCTTCAAAAATACTTAGCTCTAATCTAAAATAGTTGTTTTTTTAACATAATAGATAAGTAAGCTGCAATTTTAGATTTAGTTAAACATTTTGGAGTTTACTTAGTGTTTTATTTAAAAAAAAGTCCAATGGGTATTTCGCCACTTGTACTCTAAACGAAAAATAACAGATGCTTTTTTAATACAGTCTAATTAAAAATAAGTAAAAATTAAAAACAAATTAAACAATAATCAAACAGAAAGTTTGAGGCTTTTTGGTTTTACATCATTAAGTAATTGTTATCAGGTAATAATAATTGTTAATTTTGATGTTTAACTTGATATAATGTCATTTTAACAGAACGTCAACAGTTTTTATAAACGTATCTGTTTAAAAAAACAAAGTGTTCTTGAATGATTGAATTCAGATGTTTTATATAATTTTTTTTTGTTTTCTTCTTCCGACGACGGGAAGAGATAAATTATTCTAAACGTTAAACATTTTTTGTCCGGTAGGCAAATTTGTGTATTAGGAAATCACTGCTAACAAACTGGTCTCCGTTGGGTTAACGCAGCAAAAAGTAACTATTTTATTTTGATAACTATTTGATTTTGATTTTATGATTCCGCCACAGAGGTATAGATGTTTCTTGTTAGTCTCAATTATACGCGAATTTAAGTGTTTTTAAGTGTTTTTAAGCTAACTAATAGCAAAATTAACATACAGATAGTATCTAAACAATATATAGTAAATTTAAGACTAAGAAGAAATGTAGATCATAGAATATTAAGTTATGAACATTTGAATTTTAATTATTATAATCGAAAATTTTAACTATATATAAAATTTAATTCCTTCAAAAATACCTCATGTATATCTGATATAAGTATCTTTAGATATAATAGATATAGACTAAAAATCAGATTTAATTTTGGATTTCCAGACTGCTAGAAAGTTGCTCTGTTTCATACAACATCACTTTTTACGTAACATCTAGAAATAATGTAGCTGTAATCTAAAAATAGCTTTAAATTTTTATGATTTATATTTATTTTTATAAAATAAACCTGTTGAGTTATTTGTAGTATGTAACGTAACGACCCACGCTTTGCAAAGTGGGCGTATGGTACTTCGAAAAAGCAGAAATAGATTTTTACATGATATCTATTCGAAAACAAATTATAATTTTATATAAAAAATGGTTAATCACCCTGAAATATAACACTTTTTGAATAACCAAGAGAAATATACCATACGATCGAAGAAAAAAAAAACGGCGTCGAAGACGGCTGGGGAATGACAATCGATGGTAATTTTAGCCAGGTCAAGCCCTAGACGCCATTTACTTGGACGTCTTTATTTTTAATGGAACTTTAAGAAGGTAGTAATTTATTATTTTAAATGGTGTAGTTTAAAATTCGGGAAAAATATTTTTTTGGAAATAGATTTGTGAGTCTGGAAATGTTCTATCCTTTTTTAATCTTTCTTATTAATGTTAATTTTTGACATAAGTCCGATGTCAGTCCTGGGCTAAATGAAGTTAAGTCACGTAAACCCAGTTTGGCTCAAACAACTTTGGTTAGTTTAGTATGTTTTGTCCGCAGGTCACAGTGACGAAAGTTGACCGTTGAAAATTGAAAAAAAATTGATTTTGACCGTTTTGCTATTATAGGGTAGTAATTTTCTATTATAGTAGAATCCAACGAGACTGCAATGACACTATCTATAGCTTAATTTTTGTATTATATAGCATAAAAACATAAAAAACACTTATATACGCGTATAATTGATACTAACCAAAACTTAACACTAAATAAAATAAAAGAAGTTCAATTAAATCCAAAATTACTTTTGTATCTTACCTACCAATTATGATAGCCATAATTAACGTAACTTTGCTTTCGATAATGTTAGCTTAAAAATAAGAAAACTTTTTCATTTATTTTAGAAAAAAAATATTCGACAGAACAAAGGCTCAGAAAGAATTGTGCGCCACTTATCTGGGTTTTAAACAGCAAGTATATGAAAAAAAGGGAGAATATATAATATGAGTAAGATAAAAAAGATATAATACAAGATGGCGGCTGTCCCAGCTTCGCTCCTGCCGACGATATTTACCCAACCATTTACCTGCCGTGCCCATATTCAAGATGGAGATCTCACCGAAGTAACTGCCCGCTTTCAGGGTGGCCAGCACTGTCCTGCCGTTGTCAGCGACCACTTGTAGCCTTCCCCGATTCACTATGTACATTTCTTTACCCACTTCGCCTGCAACAAAGTAAACATTTCAATATTTTATAATACAAAACTCATAATTCCTTGGGCATAAGAGTCCATTTCAATAGTCCAAAAAAGGAGCAAAATAAGCGTTCGGCATTTAACGTTTTATGTAAAACTAGCTAGGTATTTTTACACAAATAAAGATGAAAATTAAAGATAAAGGATTATACTATATCCGTATTGTAGCACATTTTTAGACAACTTCTTTGTTTTTAAGATTTTGGTGGTCAAACATCAACAAAATATTCCTTATGTTTGGACTAAATTTTCTGGAATATAAAGACATAATTTAAAATTCCGTTACGATACGGAAATAGATTGAAGTTTTGTCATTACAGTGATATATAATTTATATAGTTTTGTAACAAATTGCTCGCTATTTTATGGCAAATGCTGAAGATCTGCAAACCTTAATCAAGCCTAAATTAAAGCACGTATGTTTGGAATTTAACAAGACAGGTTCGGGCTAAGCCTTAGGCAGATTTCTGAAATATAATATATATTTCCTTCGGCCACACACCCGCTTTACCCGACCCCTGTGAGCGACCCGAAATTACAGCGGAATATATTCTTAACATTTAACTGAGATAGGAACTATTAGCCTTTAACACCCGACAATCCTATGTGGTCATGCTCCCCATACCATCATCGAGTTTCGTCCACGAATCTTTTGTTTTCAGTGGCAAAAAGATATTTAATCACCTGCCACTGAATATAAGAAAAATATATCCTCATAGGGCATTTAAAAGGGCTGTCAAGTCCTTGCTGGTTGCGAGGGCATATTATGACTTGAAGGAGTTTTTCGCTGATTCTTGGTAGATCCGACTTACTTGTTTGACTGTCGGGAAATATTTTTATTCTACTCTACTCTATTTTTATTTGTAGATATTTATTTTTTTTTAATTTAGGTCTCTTAAAATAATGAACGTATTTGTAAGATTGTTGTATATTTTGTGCTATCTTGTATTTTTGTTTTTTTTTATTATTTTGACAAAGTTTTGTATATTTTGTATTATTTGTTTTATGTTTGTTTATTTATTATTTGTCACAGATTTGTAAACAAGAGAAATTTTATAACAATAAAGCAATGATTGATTGATTGCTTGGTTGATTGTAAACAAAAAATAACCATCTTATCCGATAGTCAAGCAACCTTAAGAGTGATCAACTGGGTAATCATCAGTTCGAAGTTGACCAAAGAATACCTAGAGAAGCTGAACAAATTAGGCAAAGAAAATAAAGTCTTCCTACTCACGCCAAGAGATAGAATGCAATAAAAAAGCAAACGATCTAGCTAGAAAAGGAGCAAACACTCCATTAACTGGGTCAGAACTGTTCTGCTTCCCAAGTGAAAACCGACTTAAAATGGAACTCAAGAACCTGGAAGAGTCCATCCGTAACCTGGAATGGGAATCCTCCAACGGTCTAAAACACTCGAAGAAATTTCTCAGGACTTTCGACCGAAAAAAATCAAACATTTTCCTTGATTTAAGTAAAGACAATCTTAAGATTGTCACGGGGTTTTTAACAGGACAGTCAACAACAACAACAACAACAAACAACGCTTTATTGTGCAAAAAGCTAAAACAGCTTCATCGACAAAGCAAATCACAAAACAAACAAAAGCACAAAAAAAATATATACAAACAACAAAAAATAAACAATACAAATCATACAATTCAAAAAAATTTAAGTCATTATAATTACAAAAAGTACATACATGGACATACAATTGCAGAATAGTAAGCAGTAAATAGATATAATTTTAAGAGTTATAAAATTTTAAATTTTTTAAATACTTGACCCTTGACCAGTGTGTGAGATGATCAACATTTTAAACCTCAAAATTGTTCATGATTAAACATCAACAAAAAAGTTGTTTACCGCATATAGGGCTCTCTATAGTAAATATGATTTCATAGCTTTGCGAAATGCGGGAGAGAATAAAAGCGACTTGATATTCAGAGGCAGATGGTTGTACATTTTTTTGGCATTGTACAGTATTGAGCCTTTAACTAGTTCTGAGCTAGGGGTTGACAGATAAAGATCGTGCTCCGCATTCCTAAGTGGATAGTTATGGGATTGCATTTCGGGAATAGCAGTATGTGCTTGCGGATTAAGCAAACGGATTCAAAAATGAATAAAGAAGGAAGAGTGAGTGTTTTGAAATTTTTAAAGAAATTCTGGCAGTGAGTTCTACTGTTCATTCCCAATAAATATCGAACTGCTCTCTTTTGAAGTCTGAAAATACGATCAAATTTTGTTGCGCAGCCAGTACCCCAGAATGGAAGGGCATAACAAAGATGTGATTCAAAAAGGGCATAATAGGCTATTCTAGAGGTTGATAAGTTAAGCTCCTTAGAAACTGATCTTAGCGCAAAAAAGGCAGCGCTTAGTTTCTTTGATAGAGCTTCGATGTGAAAGTTCCATTTTAACGAGTTGTCTACAAGTCCACGACGAGTCCACGACGTCAATAGTGGTGTTATTAAGTACAAGAGGTTGTATAGTACTTTTATATGACAAAACTTTAGTTTTTGATAGGTTGAGGCCAGGGGCGCAACTAGACATATACTTTAGGGGGGCTAAAGTCTTTTGGGGGGGGCTTAGGTCACTATAAGATAAGATTCTTGTGAGGTTAAAACCAATTTTATACGACACGCACTGGTTATCTAGGGGGCTAAGTCCCCCCTGCCCCCCCCTAGTTGCGCCTCTGGTTGAGGCATAGGAGATTAGAATCGGACCAAGATTTAATGGTGCGTAAGGCACTGGATATAGTATCATATAGTGCCGCAACATCCGGGCCGCTTCAAGTTAAACTAGTATCGTCCGCGAAGAGGCAGATTTTACCGCTAATGTCTAGATTTGCAATGTAGTTGATAAACACCACAAACAAAATAGGGCCAAGTACTGAACCCTGAGGGACACCACATTCTATAGGCTTACAAGAAGACATAGACGTATCAATCCTCACAAGTTGCCTTCTGTTGCCAAGATATGACTTGAGCCATTCGAGCGGCACTCCCCTGAATACATAGTATTGCAATTTGTTAATTAAGATATTATGATTTACACAGTCGAAAGCCTTAGAGAAATCATAGAAAATTGTAGCTGTAGAGTGATGATTATTCAGGCTAGAGTATACATTATTAAAAAGGTCGAACATAGCATCATTTGTGCAACTGTTACTTAGAAATCCAAATTGATGGGTAGTAAGTATTTTAAATTTAAGGAGAAGTCTCTTCAATCAGTGATAAGCAAAGAATAAACGCCTTGGAGATGTGGGTATATCGACGGCTGCTGCAAATACCTTGGACGACTCATTGAACAAACATCCATATTTTGGCCATATTGCCAGAAATGGCACCTCAATTAAGAGACTGATGGTGGAGAGAAGACGACGTGGAAGGTCATCTAAGAGGTGGGTAGACCAAGTCAAAAGCCTAGTGGGCCACAACCTCCCCGAAGCCTCACATATGGCGCAGTGTCGAACAACTTGGTCCGAGGAAGTGAGGGGAATCAACACATGATGTCACCATACTCTTACGTAGGATGAAGAACTGAAGAGAGAAAGTCTCCTCAATGAACGCATTAGTAGATAAAAGCCATGAAACAACGAAGACTGCAGATTCTGTAGGGAAAATGGAGAAACATCAAAACACCTCATTACTGGGTGCGCCGAGATGACAACCATTCGTGCCATAAAGTTTGGTAAGTCTGGTATTGAAGATGGAGAACTACCCTCTGTAAGACCGTCTCAGATATTGGCTTTTGTCAAAGTCCTGTGACTGCATATTGTATAATGAGTTATAATAACTCAAGAAAGGGGGACACATACAATCTACATTTACCCTGAAATTTTATTCCCTGTGAAAATCGGTATATATCCACTTAAGCACTTGACATAATAGTTAAAATACAGGACGTTTTAATAGGCATACGTAGTAGTTTTAAGACCACGGTATATTATCCAGCCATAAAATGTTAAAATGGCCTTTTATTTTTTTTTGACAAATCAAGTTAAACAATGATACCGTCAAAAAATATATATTAAAAATAGACTTTTATAGATCGACGTAGCTATTTTTAAAATATTATCGCGAAAAAATGCGCCAAAAATAACAGACAGTTTGCGAAACAAATATCTGCTCTGTTCGTTAAATTTTTCACATGCATTAGTACAGTATTGTGCATTTTTCTTTGTTAATTTTCAGTTTTTTCCGCTTTTGGAAACAAAATACGTTTTTCCATGAATATAGTTTCATTTCAAGCACTTTTTCACTGCAAATCATTTAATTTTAAAATTAATTATTACAACAATATACTGTTTTAGTTTAATTACTATTAATTTGAAGTAAGTTTAAAAAAATACAAAATATATCCGAAGATTGCCCAATTTGTTCAGCTTCTCTATATAATAAATCAATTTACTATTTGCTAATTACTTTATTGCTAATTAGGATCAGTAAATTAGCATAAGAAAACCATCTTTTATTTTAAAATTATATACAGGGTTATTCACCTTATTCGATACTAAATATTGTAGCTACACGAATAGATTTTTAGAAATTGTTGGTAATGGGATAGTTGAAGAACTACTAAAGATACAGTTCATAATACTGTCTCATACAGAGTCTCTAAAAATTTATTTTAAATAATTACTAGCTTTAACCGGCAATAACTTGTTTAATTTAAATGGCCCTGTATATTTTACGGGAATCAGATGCACAATTTAATTGTCTATAGAGTCAATCTATTATTAGAAAATATATTTTCTTATAATTTAGACCTCTTTATCAATATACCCATGGAATATAGATATTCTAGATTATTTTTAAAGATGTAACATATTTTCAAAGAGTACAGATACTAATATTGTCGATACAGTTCGCTTATTTCATTATAAAATAAAAAAAAAACTGTTTAAATATTTATAAAAGAGAACCAATTAATATGATCCACGAGTATTCGAACTACATTAATTTACTGTTTGCGTTAATCTACTACAACTCAAACTACATACCAAAAAAACTGAATTTTGTATATGTTTAGTAACATCTTATAAATTTTATTTCATTCTTTCACGAATGCTTATTTATAAAAACAGAGACAAACGTCTTTGTTGTTATAAAAGAATATATATATACATATTAAAACCGAATTATAACGAAAAAACTTTCCTGGACTGGGCCCTTTCGAACTGGATGGAATGTGCCCATCAGCAGTTTACCATTAGCTGAAGAAGTATGATTCTTCGGTTTGGGGGGTAAAAATTCATTATTAAATAACATTATTATCATCAAAAGAATATATTAAAACCGAATTATAACGCGAAAACTTTCCTGGACTGGCCCTTTCGAACTGGATGGAATGTGCCCATCAGCAGTTTACCATTAGCTGAAGAAGTATGATTCTTCGGTTGAGGGGTAAAAATTCATTATTAAATAACATTATTATCATCAAAAAAATATATTAGAACAGAATTATAACGCGAAAACTTTCCTGGACTGGGCCCTTTCGAACTGGATGGAATGTGTCCATCAGCAGTTTACCATTAGCTGAAGAAGTACGATTCTTCGGTTGCGGGGTAAAAATTCATTATTAAATAACATTATTATCATCAAAAGAATATATTAGAACAGAATTATAACGCGAAAACTTTCCTGGATTGGGCCCTTTCGAACTGGATGGAATGTGTCCATCAGCAGTTTACCATTAGCTGAAGAAGTACGATTCTTCGGTTGCGGGGTAAAAATTCATTATTAAATAACATTATTATCATCAAAAGAATATATTAGAACAGAATTATAACGCGAAAACTTTCCTGGATTGGGCCCTTTCGAACTGGATGGAATGTGCCAATCAGCAGTTTACCATTAGCTGAAGAAGTACGATTCTTCGGTTGAGGGGTAAAAAATCATTATTAAATAACATTGTTATCATCAAAAGACGTATTATTATATTTTTATTTGATTGTTGGTAGCTCCCAGTAGTTAGTACGTAGAAAAAAAAGCTTGGGTGTTTGGGAAGGCCCGAAAGGAAACAATTATGTGTTTGCGACGTTTCGTGACTTTATTGTCGCTACTTCAGTCACCAAAACATATGTATATTAATTCAAATGTCTAAAAACATTCATGACGATTCAACAGAAACTTGGGATATTTTTTTTGCCCGTTGCACACCGATGCTAGGTTTATGTCATAATACGACATAGGTTTATGACAATTTTTTTTCCACGTATTTTTTTCTGTGTATTTTTTATTTATTTGGGACACTCTGTACCCATCACTTACAATTTCTAAAAATCTAATCATGTGGCTACAGTACTCCGTCTCGAATGAAGTGAATAACCCTGTATATGTAATAGCTTAAATATTACCTATTAAATACACCTGAAATAATTTTCCCTAAAGGACCACTTCAGAAAGTATAGATTTTTTGTCCATCTCTCGTGTAATCTCCACACCCTCTGTTAAACTTTCGGTGAACCCCTAGGCCCCAAAATGGCGGATCGTTAATTCTAATGAAAGTAATGAACGGTCTTAATGGGAAAGTCAAAGAACATGTGAAAAGTTTGATTGCCCTCAAACGTTAAAAGAAGACTTTAGGCTGTTTAACTTTAAACTTGGCAAAACTAGGTACCAAAGCGATATAAGAAAAGTTTGTAATAGTAATGAAGAACTTTGGTCTATCAAAAACGAATAAGCTTAAACCGTTTTTTTTTCTTTATAGATAAAGGCTCATTAAGAATTATCTGCAAAAGGGAACATCTGTTGACGGGAAAACAGAAAGGAATTAGTCAATTGGTGTCAAAAAAATCTAAACTGGTTTGACGCAGGAAATACAAAAAATATACATATACAGTAGGATGGGTCAAAAAAGTCGACTATTTTCGACTCGGGCAATTAAATGCCGTTTTCTGAAAATTCCTAAGCCTTCTCGATTTCGCACAACAGTCAAGTTTTTGTTTTCTTATGGCCGCCATTCTGAATTTTTATATTATTAGATAGAGCGAAAAAAAAGTCTATACGGTGGTATCTAATTTTCATTCATTATTGTGTAAATGAACTAAAAAAGTAGATTTTTTAAAAATTCGCCTAAGATCAAGTCTGCCTTGAAAAGCCAATTGACACTTTATATGTCAACAAGTTATTTTTTGTTTATTCTACTAAGTGTCAAATCTGGATGCACAAAAATTGTATAGTAGAGTTCAATACAGGTCAATACAGAACCTAAAATTTTATTGTTACCAGCCCAGACGTTCAAACAATATCTTATTTGTTGTCTTTTCTTTTGCATAATAATGTGAATTTTTTTCTGTCAAATGTACCAGAATTTCTAAATAAAGTTTCGTTCGTCCATAATATTTTTTTCTAGAAAAAAGGGAACAGTTTGAACACTTTCCCAAAACCATTTTCAAAATTGTAATCTTCTTTCGTGATCACCAGCAAGAATCCCTTATACAACACTCGTGACTTATTTTACTGCTAGAAGTTTCCGGATTTATTTCAATCTGAGCTGGCACATTAATATCATTAAGCCTTTTAAAATATTGCCCTCTTGTTTTTTAAAAGCTACCAGCAACTGCTAAATTGAAAATCCTTGCGAAAATACTGGAATGTGTCCTTTCAAGATACAATGTCCTATAACTTGCGCATGCTATATCGGGATTTCTATTATATTATTAAATAAACATCGTACATATCTCGTGTTTCCTCACTTGTGAATATATCGTTGACTGTTAATACACTTTACACTATCTACTATAAATTTTTTTCCAGATTTGACACTTAATAATTTAGAGTAAACAAAAATTAACTTGCTGTCATATAAAGTGTCAATTGGATTTCCAAGGCAGACTTGATCTTTTGAGCAAATTTTTAAAAAATCTAATTTTTTTAGTGAATTTACATAATAATAAATAAAAATTCGATACCACCGTATAGATTATTTTTTGCTCTATCTAATAGTATAAAAATTTAAAATGGCGGCCATAAGAAAACAAAAACTTGACTGTTGTGCGACATCTAGAAGGCTTAGAAATTTTCTGAAAAGGGCATTTAATTGCCCGAGGTCAAAAATATAAAACTACCAACTTACGTTGCAATGGATACAATAGTTCTGAAGATATTGTCATTTAAAATAAACGTATTATTTTCATTTTTATTGACATAAATCCGAAACTAATCAAGACACCGGGGTTTTTTTCATAGGTGTTTGTCAAACTTCCAATTACGCAACTTTTGTCCCATTTAATTCGTATCTCTCGTAGTTTCTGAAATGCCAATGTTGAGCGTCGAAATTGTCACCACCCTATATACCCAAACATACCTTTTCTACAGATGTAGTCACCAGGAGAGAACAGTACCGGCCTGAGCCTTAGCACCAATTCACACAGGAAGCCTGCCTCGGTGTTCTGAAAGATTTCCACCCTCTTCAGGGTGTCCAAATGGACGTTGATGGCGATTTCCGCTTTAAGTTTGTCGGGCAAACAGGACACTGCCCGTTCTTCGTCGGAACACTTCTGGGTGAGCCACAAGTAGTCAAACCATTTGATCACTTTGACCTGGAGATGTGAAGGGACACGACGCATGCGCATGTAGGTCTTCACGCCATCCAATTTGGCTGAAAAAAAAAGAAATCTGTTTGAATTTACATTACATACTATATGTATTATCATTATTATGTATTTAGAGTATTATTATCAGAATTTAGTTGATTTTATATAGATACCGTGTTATGTAATCCCATGTTAATTTTGAAAAGGTCAAGGTGTTTCAAAAAACCTGGTCATCGATTAATCACGATCCTGCTTGAAGCGCTTGACGTAAAAAACTGATTTTTGGAAAACAAACTGACTTTAGAGGTTCGATAAGAAGGGATTTCTCGAAACGCGAATTCTAAGCCCACGGCCACACAGAAAGCGTTTTTTGCGTTTTTAGCGTGAAGCGTCTTTAGCGACTAAAACAAACTAACAGGATTATATAGGAGTGGCCACACCAAAAGCATGTAACGTTCGACATGTCCCGCAAAAAACGCAAATGAAAACAAATCAGTTTGTTTTCTGTAGCGTCTTTAGCGTTTTCTAAGATGGGACCCCGTCATAGGCGGACGTTATATTTAATAATACAATAAAAACAAATTAAATAGTATGCATTTTTTTTCATCTTAGGGTATTATCTAAAAATATTTTTATAAAGAACATCTACTGTTTATGAAGGGTCTATTAAATTCAAAAATTTGAAGGAAATGTTTGAAAAAGTGTAGCTTGAAATCTTGAAAAAGAAATAAATTAAATATTTTCTTACGCGTAAAAAATAGTTTTTTATGCGTAAAAAGTGTTTTTTCTGCGTAAAAAAGTTTTTTTAACAGAAACAAATAGTTTTTGACGCGTAAAAAATAGTTTTTTACGTGTAACAAATAGTTCTTTACACGTAATTTTTTTTTGCCTAACAAGCGTTTTTTTACCAGAAACAATAAGTTCTTGACGCGTAAAAATTAGTTTTTTACGTGTAACGTAATTTTTTTTTCCGTAAAAATTTTTTTTTACCAGAAACAATAAGTTCTTGACGCGTAAAAATTATTTTTTCCACGTAAAAATAATTTTTACACGAAACAATAAGTTTTTGACGCGTAAAAATATTTTTTTACCAGAAACAATGTTTTTGACGTAAAAATAGTTTTTTTTTGGGTAAAAAAGTTTTTTTACCAGAAACAATGTTTTTGACGCGTAAAAATTAGTTTTTTACGTGTAACAAATAGTTTTTTACACGTAAAAAATATTTTTATATGCGTAAAAAATTGTTTTCTACCAGTAACAAATAGTTTTATACGCGTAAAAAATAGTTTATTACGTGTAACCGTTTTATTCGCGTAAAATGATAAAAATAGTTTTTTACGTGTAACAAATTTTTTTACATGTAATTTTGATTCACTTTAACAAAATTTGTATTATATTTTAGATAAACACGTGTACTGATCACAAATACACGTCGCGTCACTACGTATTTCTAAGCCGTTAACACGTTTCGTTACAACGAGCTCGTGTGTCAAAGCCGTCTCACTAGCTCGTATGTCACGGCTTTGAATTTTTACTCTCAGAGCGCGTAAAGAAGTTTCACTCCAAAATGTTTCATGAATCATGTCCTAAAATTGCATTAGCAACTAGAAATATTTACTATTCTATTATATAATTATGATTATTTATTATATTATATTATAATTATGACAAGTACTAACCACAACACTACAATATAAAAAAACTATACACATATAAACTAAAATTCGTAATATAAATGGCAAATAATAATTATTATTTTTACACACACCACTGGCACTAGCAGTATATTGTGTTTGTCTACGAATATATGCCCCGGCCCGTCCACAATTCAATCCCAGCATCTTTTATCTTCGTCTTTTCAACGCTAACGGCGCCGATCTCGCCTATCTCTTTCTCACAGGATTGATTGTTGGACGGGCCGGGAATCCACGAGCTTAAGACGTTACTAATTGACATCTTGATAGAAACTGCAAACCTGCCGCGTCTTTTGCGTGTTTTTAATGGACACAAATCGATAAAAACGCTTAAAACGGTAGAATCGCAAAAAGCGCTTGAGACGCAAAAACCGCAAAACGCTAAAAACGCTTTGTGGCCGTGGGCTAAGGGGTCGAAAGCACCCCTCAAATATTAGAATATTTTTTATTTAAAAACCGGTGAGTTTTTCGAAAAAACTCTTAAACACGTATATTTTATTTTGTTGTTTTACATATTTTAAGATTTTTTAAATGAAACTACTCCTAAAATATTACCAAGTTACCAAGCATATAATAATATCGCCATATTGTTTTTTCACATGCTGACATAAGTGTGAGAAAATTTTATCCAGTTTGTATGTTAATGGAAATTCTTACTTTGCTTTATCATCAACATTACAAATTATTAATTCAACGCCAACGAAGTCGCGGGTATACGCTGGTTTTGTATAAAATAATTATGAATTTAACAACTTCTGAAAAGGTTACGATGGTTAGGTTAGGCATTTTGCTGGAAATAACCTGCCCGTCAAATTAAATACCACAGCGATTTTTTTACTCATTTTCAACGAGTTGTAACTTTGAAAAAAATGGACCAATTTTGTTGATTGTTTTAGCATATTAAAGGTCGTTTTTCGTAGATTGATCTGTTTTTTTCTAAATTTTGTATGAAATTTAGTTTTCTATGATATACAGGGTGTGAAAGAAAGGAATGTAATTTTTGTGTTGCTGCCATTTTGCTAAAAAACAAAACTTAACTAGAATTATAAGTTCTGGGTATAGCTAAGCCTAATATCTCAGGATGTATTTGGAATGTTTACGATAACTCATCGGGAATAAAAGATAATCAATTTTTACTCTAACTTGTATTTTTTCTACCTTTCTTAATAGATATGCTAACAAAACTGAAATTAACTTTAAAATTGTAGGATATTCGTTACTTTTACAATGTGAAATTTAAAAAAAAATATTTAACTAACGCAGCTTAATACAGGTACTACGGTAATAATACAACTTCTTAAAAATACGACCAGCGAAAAAGTAAAATTATTTTTTTAATATTCTGAACCTAACAGCCATTAAGGTTAATATAAAAGCTCGACACGTATTTCATTTTTTTTTAAAAACGCTTTTTGTGTCTAAGAATCTGTAGTTTAGCTGCAACTTAGTAGTTTTTTTTAATTTCACATTGCAAAAGTAACGAATATCCTACAATTTTAAAGTTAATTTCAGTTTTGTTAGCATATCTCTTAAGAAAGGTAGAAAAAATACAAGTTAGTTAAAAATTAGTAAAAAAATCGCTGTGGTATTTAATTTGATGGGCAGTTTAGTATGTGTTTAGATATGTTTGCAGCTCTGTTAGATAGCAGTGTTTGAGCATTAGAAGCTCTGTTAGATAGCAGTGTTTGCAGCTCTGTTAGATAGCTGTTTGCAGCGCTGTGTTAGATATGTTTGCAGCTCAATCTTTGGAAAGCCTATATACCGAATAAGCCAACAGTTTTTGAAACTAAAAGCACGTTTTCGCACTAAAACTAAGCCAACAGTTTTCACACTAAAAGATATGATGCACATGGAAGTGTGAAGACAAAAATAATTAAATAAAAAGAAAATAATAATGACTTGAATATTCTTCATGTTGAGGAAAAGAAAAATATTGACTCCCCTTTATTGGGGATACAGTAGGAAAAGACCACAGGATCTTTCGCCGAACGACTTCTTCCTGTGAAGCACACTCAAAAACCGTCTTTATGGCCATATTAAATACAGAAATTTAGATCAACTGAAAACGACACTTCTCTGAAATGCTAAAGATTCTCCCCTTAACAGTTTTGAATTGTGGGGCGTCAATTTCACAATCATTTGGGGTACCAATTGTTTGGCTGTGAATGGGGAATTATGTAAACATTTTATTAATTAGTATAGTTTAATAAAGTTCCATTTGTTACAAATATTTCGATTATTCCTTGAATTAATGTGGATTGTATGTAGTATGAACGAGGCTTGCAAGTTATCGAATAATGAACAGCAAACAATTCAACTAACTCTTTTATAGATGATCATTCCAATTCAGAAAAAATTGGCCACATTTTTCAAACCACAGAAATTCTAGTAAACAAAAAAAACATCGTGACATCGAATTTGACAATGACAAAATCATATTTTTGCTGGCATTTCAATTGTAGCTTTCTCTGGGGCGTATTATAAATTTTTAGTAATTTGAAGGTAGATTTTTGCAAATATGAGCAAAAATTAGGTTTTCAACGAATGTTTTTTTACTAGCTATCGAATTATTCGAATGAATTGCAACTATCGAATGTTTCGATAGTATTCATTCGATAGTTCCCACTACTAGTTTAGGACATACATTCACATGAAGTTTTTTTCTTAGAATAGGTCCAAGAATTACCCCCTTAAATATTAGCATGTCATTAAGGAACACCCTGTATACGACCCTGTAACAATATGCACTTGTTTTACAGATACCTAAATACATCGTTGCTAAAAGGCGGAATTCATAGTTTGATTATAAGATCCACTCAACATTAACCCAGTTTGAATACTGAATAATTACAAATAAACAAAGACTGCAATACAAACGATGCTGTACATTATGCCGCACAACTCTGCTTCTAGAAAATAACAACAGTTGTTTAATATGAACCTCGTAAATGAGCTCGCAGCGGATTAACATTTGAAGTCATTATGAAACAACGACAACAGCGCATTAGGCGAGATGCGTAATTGTTTCTGGGATAATAATGATACGAACATTCAAAAACAGTAATTGCAAATTGTTAATTCTAACATTGTTGTCTAAAATTAACTGTTTTTAATACACTTAGTACCAGTTTTCGATATTTAGTAGTAATCTTAATTTAATTAGTAATCTGTAACTCCTAGAATAAAAAACTTGGAAATTTTGTTTAAGTGCATACCTAAAGTATGTTGGATGTATTTCAGGAAAATATTTTAACTTCTATAGGGTGGCTCAAAAAAGTGTGAGTGGATCGGAATATTTTTTTTAAATGGAACACCCCGTATATTATTGAATTTTTGGCTTCCAATTTCAGATCACTTTATCTAATCCTAAA